CCAAGTCGAGATTAGAAAAATTAAACTAAAAGAGAGGGAGAGAGAGCAAATTATAGAAGATAAAATGCAAAAAACATAGTACATAGTACAAACAGCAAAAGGAGAAGCTAAACTTAGTTGTTCGCGAATAATTTCCATTAAAATAGATTAAAAGCTGAAATATTTAAATGTCTATCTGTGTGTGTGTGTGTCTACCCCACAAAATACGCACCCTTCTTCCTGTGATACCCCCAGGCGTTGCCTCCGAGAAGGTGAAAGTATTAAAAGTACTTGCCACACGCCCATGCCCATGCCCACGCTCACGCAGTCCTGCCGCGACTCCTCCTCGTGTTATATGTAGCAGATTACACCGGCATAATAATCAGCTTGAAGATGGGGAAACTCACACACACGCACACATCTGTAGATGGGGTAGTGGATAGTGGGGAGGGTGGGGCAAGAACACGCGCAAATATTAAATGTTTTGCAGAAAATACAGAAAATGAACGAAGCAGTTCTGGGAAAATGGTGAATGGACACAAAAAGCGAGCAGCAATCACTACGGAAAAGTGGAGCCAGGAGGCAAAGGGAGTGGAAATGGAAATGGACATGGAAACAGGAAACAGGAAAGGAGTGAGAAAAGCTCAGGAAACAGAAATACAAGAGTTAAATGCTGGCAAAGTGTGAATAAACTGAAGGACATTGCTGCCATAAGCTGCCAGATAATCCCCAAAAACACACACACACACCCGTATGTGTGTACATACGTACATGGAAAGCTCGTGTGAAAAGCTTTACGCGAGAGAAAGAGCGAGGATCGTTGCCGGAGAGTAAAGGAATGAACGATCAAAAGTTTTCTTTATTGGACAGCGAAAAACCAACAAGAAAGGAAAAACTTGATAGAGAAAGAGAAAGACGTAACCCCAAAAAAGCGGTCAAAGTTCATCAACTTTGGTCCATACTTCAGCCCAATCCTCGCCTTTTGCATTTCCCATTTTCCAAAACACCTGAAAATGTCGAAAAAACAACGAAAGAATCTAAAAGGGAAAATATTACGAAATATCCTTCACCACCAGAGGCCAAAAAAAGCAACGAGCTAGCGAGCAGGCGAGAGAGCCAGAGAGAAGAAAGAGAGGGAAACATTTCGATGCGCCAAAAAGCATCAGCGGCTTTAACATATCTCCCCTCCCTGCCGCCCTGCCTCTCCGCCTCCCCTCCCCGCTGGTAACTGACACGAATGGGAATATAAAAGGTAAATAATGTGACCTTTGAGAGCATCAAATGCGTTAGGTAATGGCAGGGCCTAAAACGTAAAACGAAACCAGAAACTGAATCAGAAACGAAGAGAGGCAGAGAGGCAGAGAGCGGCAAGCGTTTGATGGGGCTGTGTGTATCCAAAGAGGGGGGATACATGGCTACAACAGCAACAATTTCGTTGAATTATGAATGCATGAAGGGGATATAAGGGGGAAAGTACTGGGCAATTACAACTCCATGCATGAGCATTGCACCATTTGATGGGTACCTTTTCTCTCAGTGTTCATTCTACTATTAGTTGGCCATAAAAGTTGAGGCTCGTAAATAGGTTCCCTCTCTCCCTCACTCTCTTCTTTGGGCTGCAGGGGGGGGGCAAAATTTATAGAGGTTAATCCCTCGCATCGGGGCAAGCAATAATCAACGAGGAGAAGCGAGTTATGCGAAGAGTTCGCGAGCATCTTTGCTGGCGCCCCTCTATCCCCCCCTCACCAAAAGTGACTTTCCAGGATTTGCTTTTATTGCCTTGACGCCTGCGCATTGTCCTGTTACGCCTAGATCTCCCCCACTCCCCCACTCTCTCCTCTGGCTTTCTCTTTGTTTGCGTTTTGGAGGTTATAAATTATTTATTGTTTTTTTTTTTTTTGTTTGGATACAACATGATTTCGAATTGGGCATGGAGTTGGCCCTGCGACTGGGGCCTGGAGATGCCTGTGGGGTCGCATGTGTTACTCGCTTTCGTGCTACTTCATTAAGTCGCCCAGGCCAGGCCAGGCCAGGTCATAAAATCTGATATGACTATGACCCTATCTCTTTCACTGCCTCTCTCGCTCTCGCTCTCTGCTATCCCCCCCACTCTGCTGATACCCTGCCACCCAGAAAACCATCCTGGCAAGTATAATTTCCGCACATTTTCACGTTTTGCACATTTCCGTTGCATACTTTTGTGCGCCCTGGCATTTTGATGACGCTTTTGGCCGGGGATCTTCTCCCTCATCCCACATCCCTCATCCACTACCCTCCTCTACCCATTTTTATAGCACAATATTTTAAACAAATTTGTTGTTGGTTGCTAGAACTACAGTTCTCGCTGTTGTTGCTGTTGTCGATTGCAGTTTGTTGCTGGTGGCATTTTAACGAGTTAATGCAGGACATGCAGAATGGCCAACATTTTTGAATTCATTGAACTTTCGCTCTGTTCTGTTCGGGGTTCGCTTCGACTGCGTTTCATTATGCAACTGCTGCCAGAACAAGGCATTCTCGGAGAGCATTCTCCCCCTTTCTGGTCGAAATTCCTTTACCATTTTTAATATCTCTGAGCTGTGCTCCGCTTTTCTTGAAAATCCTTTTCTTCCTTCGCTTCCCCTTATTCTTGCCATATTTTAGGGTACATTTTACACGTTGCCTGCTCCTCCTCCTTTATTATTTGTATTATTATTTTGGGCGATGGGAGAAACTCGTTGAATCCGATGATGTTTTTGGCTTTTTGCAACCCCTTTCGCTACGCCACTTTTGGGGGCATTTTTAATGAGTCCTATGCAAATATATCGTTAGACCTGAGTGTGTATACGTGTTGTGTTGCGTTGTGTTGCGTTGTGTCTGGGACCTGATAAGCAGCTAAAGATGTGGCTAAGGATTCAATTCTCTTTGATTATGGCAGCCAACTCCTGAAAGGTTCAACTGAAACTAGATGCAAATGTCCTCGGGCTCCCCCAAGCCATATCCGATGGGCAGTAACAGTAAAACAGAAAAAAAATTATAATAAACCCACCCACCTCCGAGAGAATTTCAATCTCAATCGTCAACAAGTTTCTCCTGTCTGTACCTCTCTTCCTCCCACCATCTAGTGCCTCTTCTTTTGGCCACTCTCAACTTGCTTCAACTAGTTTTATATGCACAGAGGTGGGAGGGGGAGAGGCGGCGGGGGTGGCACTGCTGAGGGTTAATGCATGAACGAAATTCATGGCAAAACTTGAGCTGAATTGTGCTCGGAATGGGCTTGGCTTGGACCGTTGCCGTGGCCGAAAAAAACCGAAAAACCGAACCCTGTTTCCAGAGCCGTGTCCGTTTTCGCCAAAGCCAAGCAACGGTCTCTCTCTCTCTCTCTCTGTCTCTCTCCCTTCTTCTCTATTTTCGTACTTTTTGGCTGGTTTCTCTGATGAAAACTACTCAGCGACATGGAACTTAACTTAAAAAGTTTTGCACTTTCATTTTGTAAATGAAATGTAGTTGTTGTTGCTGTTGAAATAGCAGGAAAACAATTTGAAGCGGATAATGAATATGGGTTAGGTTGTGCCTGACTCAGTGTGCTGTGTGTGTGTGTGTGTGTGTGTGTGAGCTCATGTGGCTAGGGAGTATTGCTTTTGTGAGAGCACTCCCTTAGGCTGCGACTCCTCGACATGACAGCGATGCCAGCCCCCGGAGGAGAGACACTGAATGAGTGAATGAATGAATGAACAATTATAAAAGTCCGAATATACACATGAAAGTACTTGGCAACACAGCCAAACGAGCGTAAATGCAATAATGGGTTCAAAAATCGTAAATTTCACAAAAGTCCCAAAAAATTTGGCATTTTTATTTGGTTTTTTTGTTGCTTCTTTGGGTGGCAATTTAGTTTGATTTGTAATTTATAATATTGATAATTCTTTTATTATCGATCGTTGAATTGAAACGCAATAGTTCTGTTAGAAATTTGCAATATTTGTAGCTCTTCCAAGAGTCATTTGAAGTATTGAAATCCCTTAAAAAGTAGGATTCTTATAGCAATATATCTTTTGACTACTTCCCTCCAAAGTCCTGACTCCTTCTTTCCCATGCAGTTTTCCAAAAAGAGGATCTTTGCACAAGCAGAGAATGCGAGAGTACTAGACAGGACTTGCAGCTGCTATCCATTCTTTCTGCCGTACGGAAAAAGCAGCCACAGCCACACAACCAGCGATTCATTTTCATTCTTCCCAATTTTCGTTCTTTCTCGCTTCATCTTTTACGGCTCTGCTCGTGGCTCACGTAATGAAAATGGTGCACATAACGGGACACTGAGGGGGGAACGAGCGAGAGAGCGTTGACAATGACGAGAACGCCGACACCACACGCCACTCGTTGCCGAGGACGAACTGAAGCCGAACGCCGAGCAATGCCGGGCAATTTTCTGAACAGATGTGTGGTAAAATTAATGGACAGAGATAAAGTTGTGCTTGGAGCAAGGGGCTAAGGAGGGTTAAATGTCCAATGGCAGCGTGAGAGCACGGCCAAAAGAGAGCGCAAAAGAGAACGAGTGAGCGAGTGAGTGGAAGGGAGGGAGAAAGTCAAAGGTTCGTTTGCGAGGCTTGTTTGCCCAACATGATTTATGATCCAGCCACAGTGACAACTGAGTGGAAAACTCCCCACAAAGAGAGGGGAGGGTGAGTTGAGTGAGTGTTATTCACTGTTCACTCAAAGCTCGGAGAGCCACCAACCCCCCGGACAAGCAATTCTCTCTTTCTCTCTCTCTCCCTGTGTGCGGTGTCTGTGGTGTGTGTGTGTTTCGGTGCTTCGCTTCGGGACTTTGCGGAAAAGCCGTTGACTTCGTTACGCTGATAATTCAAATATTCATGGAAATTTACATACGTGTCAATGGTATTAAGTGGCGTTATATTACGGTATGGGATGGCATGGTATGGCACGGGCTAGTTCTGGGCCCTGTGGCAGGGCCTGAAGATACCCTGGGATACCCCTTAGCCAACGAGTAGTACTGGGAACACCGGATGTCGGGCATCTTGACTCACCTGAATGCCGTGCGCGCCTCCCCCCTGCTGGCTGATGTGCAGCTGTTGCGTCTGCTTCATCTGCAGCGTTGTTGTAGTCGCTTGCTGCTGCTGCTGCGCCGCATTGCCACCGGGCCCGGCATTTGGATTGTTCTGCTGCCCATTGCCTCCACGCTGCTGCTGCTGGGGACCACCCTGTGGCCCGCCGCCCGGCTGCTGCTGCTGTTGCTGCTGGGGCAGATTACCGGGCTGCTGCTGCTGCTGCTGGCTGCCGTTGGGACCGCCACGGGGCGGACAGTTGAGGAAGTTGGCAGCGGCGGCTGCCGCATTTGCGTTTTGGTTGCTGAAGGGCGAGTACTGCTGTTGCTGTTGCAATTGCTGCTGCTGCTGCTGGGGCACCTGTTGCTGCTGCTGCTGCTTGTTGAAGCTGGGCACGCCACCCATTTTGGGACCATTCGGGTTCGGATGCTGCTGCTGGTGATGTTGCTGTTGTTGTTGCTGCTGCTGCTGCTGTTGCTGCTGCATGGCCTGCTGCTGCTGCAGGCGCTTGAGATCGAAATCGTTTTGAGAGGAATAGAAGAGCTCCTGCTTGATGTCCAGGAAATTCTGCTGGACATTCATGCCAGGCCCGGGACCGGCACCTGGGCCAGGACCCTTCTGGTGGAACTGCGGCGGCAGATGCTGCTGCTGGGGCTGCTGTTGCTGCTGCGGGCCATTGGGACCCAGGCCAAAGTCGTTCGGAAAGCCGCCCCCATAGTCGTTGTAGCGTCCGGGCTGGCCCTGACCAGGGCCACCCATCATCTGGCCATGTTGCTGCTGCTGGGCCTGCTGCTGCTGCTGTTGTTGCTGCTGCTGCTGCTGTTGCTGCGGTTGCATGCCATGCGGGGGGCGGGGGAAGCCACCCATGCCGCCCATCGCACTCTTGTGCTGGTGCTGCTCGGCCATCTGCTTGAGGGTCTGGGCGGCCAGCGGATGCTCCGACATGAGATTCCCGCCACCGGAGGCTTGTCCTCCGCCTCCTCCTCCTCCCACGCCACCGGCACCAACCCCGCCACCGTTGGGGCCGTTGGGGAAGCCACCACCACCGCCGGCGCCACGCATCTTCATGGCCTGATTATCCATGCCCATTCCGACGCCAAAGCCCCCAAAGCCATGTCCCAGACCGCCCTCCGACTTTACATTCAGGCTGTTGATGAGGTCCTGGGCATTCGGGGGCTCCACCTTGATGCCGTCCTCCGTCTTGATGTCCAGCAGCGGCTTCTCATCGAAGCCGTCGAGGAAGCTGGGATTGAAGTCCTGCAAATTGTTGATGAGATCCTTGAAGGTGTCGTTGTTCTCCGAGTTGTCATCGCCCAGTAGATCGGGAAACCCGGGAAACTGCCCGTTGCCCCCGTCCTTGTCCAACGAGCCCAGATCGGGAAAGTCGTGGTCGGGCTCCCGTTTGCACTCGACCAAATTGGCCATATTGCCGAGGGCCGACTTCTGTTGGGCGGACATCATGTTGGGTCCCATGCCCATTCCGACGCCGACTCCGAGGCCACCGAGTCCGCCACCGCCGGGTCCCTGGGCCATTCCGCCAGGACCCCCGCCACGCCCATTATTGCCGAGGCCACCCAGTCCGCCGCCTTGTTGGTGCTGGTTCTGGTTCTGGTTCTGGTGCTGGTGCTGCTGTTGCTGGTGCTGATGCTGCTGTGGATGATGTTGCTGTTGTTGGTGCTGCTGCTGCTGCTGCTGATCGCCTCCGCTGTTGCCACCACCGCCGCTGTTTCCACCTCCTCCGTTTCCACCACCACCACCGCCGCCGACGCCCACTCCTGGTTCGCTCTTCACCGAGGTGTTGGTCAGGGCCTTCACTGTGACATTCGTGCTGATCTGCTGCGGCTGTGAATTGGCCGCAGAGGTCGTGAACTCCAGCTGCTGGACGATTTCCACCGAGAATTTGGTTAGATTCTCAGAGCCGTTGTTGTTGCTGTTGCCGCTGTTGCCGGAGTTGTTGCTGCCGCTGTTGCCGTTGTTGTTCCCATTGTTGTTGGCATTCGAGCCGTTGTTGTTGTTGCTGTTGCTATTGTTGTTGTTGTTGTTGGGCAACTTATGCGGCGGCTCAAAGTTCTCGGCGCCATTGTCAACATCCTCCGCTGGTCGTTTAAGGAATTTTTGTTGCTAAAAACGGATCGAAAGAGGCACAAAAAATGCATGAGTAACGGTCCAAAAAATATATAATAAATACATAAATTAAAAATGTAATCATTTACAATTTAATGATAATTAAAAAGGCTTTAAGAATTTCGGAATATTTTTGAAGACTGGAACGATATGAAAGGGTGTCTTGGGATCTTCCTTTTTAGCAGAAAGGTTTAATTAAAAATAAATCTAATTACTTATAAAAATGATATCCTTTTAGTAGCACAATTCTTACCCAAATATTCATAGATAGTTTGTTTATAGATTTTCTTGTTGGATTTGGGCAAAGTTCAGTTAAGTATTGAATAATTTAGACATTCACAGTCAGTACGTATACGCGATATATGTACATATAGCAGACAAGATTGGAGTTCGAGTTTGGAGACGCGTTTAAATTAAAGATTCAATCCGATCGGTTCGTGGAGAGATTTTAGGCCACAGCCTGACGACAGGGAGTGCAATGTCGTACAGCGCTGGTGTTGGGCAAGGGCGTCGACAGTGTTGGATAGCAATGTCGACTGTTTTGCATTTTGTTGCGTTTGCTTCGTGGGCGCATTTGGCTTTTGATTTGTTTGTTTCCTTTTATTATGTTTCTTTTTGGTTTTTAATTTTTGTTTTTACTGTTTTACTGTTAACAGATACCGTTTGCTGCAAGTTCTTTGTTCTTTTGATTGCAATTTGATTTTCTTAGCTGCAGCACACACACACAATAAAGAAAATATTCAGATTCGCTCGTTTGCATATACATACATACATACATACGTTCATAGGCATGTATGTATGTGTGTATCTTTGAGAGCCACAATTCGATTAACACTCTGGACAAAAGCTCGACAACAAAAACAACAGCACCGCGCCGCAGCAGCAGCAGTGCGGCTCTTCGCTGACTTGGCAAAAGTAATCAAAAGAAATTCACTTCCAGAGACGTGCACAAATTATTGAAAGTCTACAACAAAGGCGACAGCGACAGCAACAGCGACATTTCGTTGAAAATCGCAAGTGCAGAGCGAGCCCGCGCCGAAAGCTACGCTGTAGATCGACGTAAGTCCACCATTCCGACTAAGAGGTACCCACTGTTCCGCAATACTGGCTGTGTATCAAACTGCTCCTGAAACAATCTTGCAATGAGAGCATCTCCCTTTTCCCCCCACAAGTACAGGGTATAAGCATAACAGAGTGGACGAGCGCGGGAGGCGAGAGGCAGGGCGGGCAGGCGGCAATAACATAAAAGCCAAAGACACTTCTAATCAGTGGCGTGGCAGAGGGGGGCCAGCGCAGCGCAGCGCAGCAGAGCTCTGGCGTCGACTGCAAAGCTCTCAGCGAGCAAAAGAGAACAAGAGCACGCACAGGCATACGTTTGCATGTGTATACGTGTGCAGCTGTGTCTTGCCGCCGAAGCAGGCGCCGACGCCGACGACGACGACGACGACGACGCCAACGTCGCCACATTCGTTGTTGCGTTCTGTTCTGTTGTGTTTTTGTTTTTATTTTACTTGTGCGCCGTTCGCTTGTTGCCTGCTGCTGCCTTCAGATATATCCAGAGTATATTGAACATAAGGTAAGCCGGAGTACATCGCACTTAATGCCTATGACTAAAGCGTGACAATGGAGAACACAAAGCCTTACCCTTCCATGTCATAAGCCCCGAGCGGAACGAGATAAGTGGCGGAGGCAGCAGAAGGAGGCGATGAAAAGCAACACCAAAAAACAATCACATTTAAATCAGAATGTGTTTTCTTTTCAGTTTTATTTTCTTTTCCACGACAGAGAGCGCGCGCGCGCCGCTTTTGCTGTTTATTCTGCTTTTAATTAATGCAAAATGTATACAAAATAGCCGCGAATAGGCGCTGCGCCCTGCCACAGCAACAGCAACAGCAACAGCAAACATCAACATCAACATGTGAGTGAGGTCGCAAGGTGTGCGTGAGAGTGAGGAGGAGAATCCTCAACAAAAAAGAAGCACCAGAAAGAGCCAAAGCTGAGGAGAACTACTCTGATGTAAGTGCAAGGAAAGTTTCGAAATGCATTGAATAATAAAATCATTCACACGTCCTCTCTGGGGGGAATGTTATGCCTGCCACAGAAGCCGTGGACTACCGTAGAGTGGAAAGAACTCAGGAGCTCAGGATTGCACTCACAGATTTAAATAAATATATAAACAAAACAAACCCCGTGTGAAATGAATATCCCAGAAATACATATAATCGAACAGCAGCAATTGAAGGGGATCTCTGCCATATGAATAACAAAAGCGAAAATGCCACTCATTATGCATTCACATGCAGGAACACACTCACCGCCGCCGCATTCGGCTGTGATAAGTTTATGACGCTTTACAACACTCGAAATGCAATGCACACGCACACACACATTCGCTCTCTCCCATCGTCCATCAGACTCTCGTATACCCTTTCCTTCGATACACGAGCCAACAGTTTTTCCCATTCGCCAAAGCTCATTATGAATAAATGACGTTTCATAAATTTGTTTCTCTGCCCTGCCTCCGCCTCTGCATCTTCTCCGCCGACAATCTATCTTGCGCTCTCTTTCTCTCTCTCTCTCTCATACGCTCACCATCTCTTTCTTGTTGTCTTTTTTGCTGCTCTCTGTTCTGCCATCTAGCGATGGAAACGTGACACAAAGAATGCAAACCTGAGTTGACCAAAGCGCTTAAGGGGGAGGGTGGCACTGGGTGGGGGAGTAAGCTAGTGGCAAACTATGAAAGAGATAGATACAGTAAAAGATAGAGAGAGAGAGACGCAACATCTCCGAGAGAATGTTCGCTCAAGCAGTGCTCGCACAATTTACAAACTTAAAAGTAATTTAGTTTTTTACGACTCCACTGCGGTAATAAAAATGCTTTGCCCCCCCCCTGCCCTGCTCCTCCCTCCACCTACCCAATCTATTGCCATCTCTTTCACCTATAACTATAACATAGCTGTACCCTTTACCCCACACACCGCCACCCCTCACTCCCCCCTCTCCATTCACACTGCACATTTACATTTATCGATGTCCCCGACTCCTTCGTCGAGCTCTTCTTTTTCAGTGCCTTCCGATGGGGCTAGGGGGCAGGTCTGATGACTTTGTTCGGGGGTCTCGTCTCATGTCTAGGGTATGTCTAACCGAAAACGAGCGGGCAACGATGGGGGGCGGAGTAGGAGTAGGAGTTTCTGTGGCAATCATTCGGTTTGGGGAGATGTGCATCTACGCTGATCGATTGTTTTCGATACATTACATCCATCGATTGCATATATCGATCAATCAGTTGCTTTTAGATCATCTTCTTATTCTTCCCAGATAAATTCATGTTCTATTTTGTTCGTTTAGTCAAAAAGAAAGTCAAATATTTCACAGCTTATGACTCGTTTCTCTATCTTTCAGTTGTTGTCATTGTATCTCTCTCTGTCTCTCTTTCTGCCTCTTTCTTTAATATATATGTATTTGTGTACATATATTCTGTTTGCTTTAAGCGCAAATGAAATAAAGCAACAGAAATTATGCCGCGAACCTTGACACATTAAAAATAAAGCAACAACAAAAGGCAAAGCGCGTAAGCAAGAAGACGTCGCTGCTGCTTCCTCTGCTCCCCTAAACCATCACCCATCCCTCTCTCTCCCTCCCTCCCTCTCTCTCTCTCTCTCTTTCTATCTCTGTTTCCCTCAGACAGTCAGTACATTTGTTTGCGTGTAAAAATAAAATGTGGAAAAGCTTCTTTCCACGTTGACGACGCCGCTCCGTTCAGTTTCTGTTTTTTTTTTTTTTTTGGGTTTTTTGTGTGTGTTTTTTTCATGATTCCAATGCACAAACAAAAGCGAGCGTCCAACGCGTCGTATGATTAATGCGAATTAGTGGCCAAAGCGAGAGTCGCAACACTCAACAGTCTCTCGAACACTCCACCGACGGACGAACACTCGCCAGAACAAAAAAGAACACCACCCAAAACGGAAATCGTCTCGTTCCGTTCCGTTCCGTCTCCCCAGCAGCAGCAGCAGCAACAACGAAAGAAAAACAGCAAGCGATTCGTGGAAAGCCTTCGAATCGGGTTCGTGATGATGGCTTGTTGACTACTATGGAGGCGGGGTGGAGTGCTGCTGGCGGTCAGGAACTGCGTAAGCCGTGAATAAATATCATTGAAGATCTGCATATTGAGAAACAAAGAGAATCTGTTTGGATACAGATACAGATCGCTTCGACGACTGCACAAATCGATAACAGTATTATATTTCCATGAAAAACTCTCAACTCTATATCTCTCTCTATCTTTTCGTGCTGCTCCTCGCGCCATTACCTTGTCATTTACTCGCGATAATTAATGAAGAATACAAATTTGAACGAGCGCTCGAGTGTCAGCCATAACACACAGACCCACCTCCACTCCATCCAAATCCTGCTCCTGTTTCAGTTCCCCTGCCATCAATTAATTCCTGGCCATTTCCTAACCCGTTCCCCTGGACCCACTCTACCTATTGGGGCACACACATGGCGTATGCGTAATGTTTTTGGCCTTGTTTAGCGCTCTACTCGCTGCGTGCACCCCTCAAACACTCCTTGGCTATTACTCGTAGCATTCTGTTCGGTCCGGCCCCTCCCTATGCCGCCCCACATCGTTAGCTCGCATTACATTTTCCATACTATTAATTTTTTGCACATTATTAAAAAGAGCGGGGGGAGAAATATGAAAGAAAATTATAAATCAGTATTCAACTCATTTAATGGCAAATTATGTTGGCCGAAAATTAATTAATAGCAACAGTAGCAACAGCCCCCGCCCCCACCCCAGTTCCAGCAGAAATGGCAATAAAAGTAAGATTAATGTAAACCAAAACCAAAGCAGCAGCGGTGGAGAGTGGCAGAGTATCAGGCGGGCAGCAACAATTTCAGCATTGCCAAAAGGCTTACCGCAGGGTATATTAAATAGGCGGTAAGGCAGTCCGAGAGAGAGTCCCGCTACTCTGTTGGTATAAGCCAGATTTGAGTTTCCAATTGAGTTTCTCTCTGCGGCTTGTTGCTCGGTTCTAGCCAATTGTTAATGTTTATTGTTATTGTCGCTCTTGGGCCTGGGAATTTCCTATACCTACTGTTGTCGTTGTCCCTTGCCAACCTTGCAACAGAGTCGAAAGATGGAACACACTCGAATGCTCTATAGGAAAAACCGAGTAGAAAGAAGATAGCTTTATGCAAAGATCAGGGATATCCATCTGAAAATGTTCACCTCGAAAGAGTTATTCTTTAAGAAAAGATCAGCCCGTAGTCAGTCCAATTGTTCCCCACAAACGCACAAGAATTAATGAATAAACGAGTAGTAGGTGTATAAATTATGGATATATGTATGGATAATTGCAAAACTGTGCGCTCTACTTCATGGCACTGTGAGCATGCCCCACATTTGGTGAGGGCATAGCAAACGACCAATTTCTCGCTCGGATCTGTGGCCTCCTGCTCACTTCTTGGCCAGCCCCAAAAGCAGTCACCAATCACACACACACACACACACACACACTCACACACTAATATGTAGTACACTTACTCACACACTCGCAGGGAAATCAAACAGAAATTTAAATGATTTTCTCTGCACACTTTCGGATTAAACAAAAACTGTTTTGCTTTGATATTCTAGCAGGCAGGCAGGCAGGCCACTGAATATATACATTTTAATTTATTCACAATTTTATGGAAAACGAAATTCGGCAGCAAAACCGAATACTCATAGATACATATGTATGCATTCCCCCGAGTTGTTTTACTTTAATGTAATTAATGATTTTAATAAAGCGACCACTACAGAGAGACTGCAGTCACTTTTTGGTCAATTTTCCTGTTGATTTATTTAGAAAATTTGATTTATGTATCTTAATTCTGGTCTTTTTACGTCGTTTGGTTGAATCTTATACAGTCTGCACCTAATAAATTTGCATTTGCCAAGCACACGAGCCAGCAGAATAATGAAGAAAGAAATGTCACAGAAATAATCCAAAAAGAAGGAATTCTGAATAAATTGATGTATTCGTAGAGAAACAGCCGCAGAATAGATCTGTGCCCCGAAGAAGATGAATTTCCAAGAAATATTAAGCTTATCTCACAAAATTTTATATGGAATATAATGCATTAATTACTTCACCCGAATACAATAGACTACAGTGGCAAATCGTTTGTAGACTTTCAGTGGAATAATTTAATCAATAATTATTATCGGTAATTTCACGTCATTGCTTTACCATGAAAGTGATCATTTCTCCTCGATAATGTTTTATATTTTATGTTTTTTCTTGGTTTTATATTTATTCAACGATTTTTGAATGTATTTAATGGTATGGTATGGTATTAATTTTTTTAATTTTGTTTTGTTTTCACTTTGTTTTTTTGATAAATAAACATTTTGATAACATAATAAGACTAGTTTTGAAAATGTTTGAGTTTATTTTGTTTGTTTTTATTCTCGGTGTAATTTTTTTTTATTTTTATTAATTTGTTTTAATTAAAAACGAAACCTTGTTTATATTTAATTTTAATATTCTTTAGTGTTGTTGTTGTTTTAATTGTTTTTTTTTGTTAACACTTTTTAGGATTTTCCCTGCGCCAAATGCCACTTTATGTTGCTGCTGCTGCTGATGTTGCTGTTGGGGCTGCTGCTATTGTTGCTGCTGCTTTTTATCGCTGAGGAAACGAACCGCAATGAAAACTACACGCGCACAACAAAAAACCCACACAGCTTTTCTTTTGCTTTTGCTTTTGCTGGTGGTGCTGCTACTGGGGCTATTACTGCTTCAACTGCCACTTGCCACTGGTGCTGCTGCTAGTGCTAGTGCTAGTGCTGCTGCTGCTTGGGGCTGCTTGGGTGTCGTGCGCCGTTTGGCAGTCGGTTGAGTACTGGCACGAGCCACTGTCAGCGAAGCCCCAAACGGCTCGTACGACCCCAACGAGCGACGGCACCGTCGACAGCGACAGCGACGGCGACGCCAGCAGCGAGAAAGTTTGCTTTTTGCATTGTTGCAGCGACGCTGACGGACGCCCTGCCTGTGTCTCTGTCTGTATATGTGTGCGTGTGCGTGTGCGTGTGTGGGGGTGGCTGTCAGGCATGTGTATGTTAGCTTTAACAGCGGACTGTTGATAAGCCTGCGATTCTGCTGCTGCTGCTGCTGTGCTGTAACCATGTTGCATGTCAGCCGCCTCTCTCGGTGCTCTCGCTCGCTTGCTCGCTCGTTTCGGCTTTCATGTTAAAACCAATTCGTTTGTCATTTGTTTAATGACACAAATATTTGTACAAAGTGTTTGCATTTATGTATGCCACGACCCAAGCGATGGATGCCAACCTGTACGGCAGCCCCGGCCCCTACGCCATTCCCGGCTCCTTGGCGGCATTTTCAATTTCCATTTTCTTGGCGGCGTCATGAAAGTTTACCCCCACCGCCACAAAAACAGAAAAAACTCGAGCCATCAATTTGATTGCCACTAATAGACTAATAATAATCCAAATAGTAATACTAATGATCATAATACGACTGAAGAGCGCTAGTTGTTGTTCTCTGCTTTTGTATGTGGATGTGGATGTGGCGGCCTTTCAGGCAAATTGAATTGCCTTCGATTTGGAGGGCTGTTGAATTAGGTTGAGCCAACAAGGACACTTTACTCTCTCCATGCTCAATAAAAAAATCGCAAACCCTTACCAAAATTGGACTCCTTCCATCCAGCTCCTCAACAAGCACAAACAACAAAATAAATAATTAAGTAGAAAACAGCCGACTACAAGATACCCTACACTATATCCTAGGCCCTATCCCACTAGAAATCAGTGAGAAAATCAATCAATAACAGCTCGAATCCTTTTGGATTATGAACGTATTTACAACTGAATCTAGCTCGCGTTTATACTCAGCACGAACTGAAAATACCCTTTGTGTAATACGAGAGTACCAGGTATAACAACTAAATAAGGAAGTGACACCGGAAACAGGCAGCAACGTCAGCGTCGGCAGCGACGCGTGGCGGAATGCGCAACGGAATGCGAGGAAAGGAGAAGAAGGCGACGGCGGCGGCAGCACGAGCGAGAAGCTTTGGGCTTGCAGAACAGGATAAAGTTGTTTGAAGGAGAAGGCGTTAACAGCAGCAGCCCACGGGCAAGGAATATCACTCAAAATTGAGTCGAACAAGAGGAAGAGAAAGAGAGAGCGAGTAGCACCATCCATCCATCCGTCCATCCTTCCTCTCTGGCATCGTTCTCTTTGTGTTGCGCTGGCCTGGCTCTCACTCGGTTACAAAGGCAACGACACCGGCCGGCTGAAACTAGTTAGAGCCCACCGCCAACAACCCTCAATTCTGGCCACATCTATGCTCGGCTCGGCTCTGCCCTCCTCCCATCCTGCCACACACTTTGCAGCTTAACCTATAAAAATTCCGCAACAACAACAACAGCAACAGCAGCAAAAGCAACAAATAGGAACAACACTTCGGATGAGAATAGTATGCCTGCTTTGCTCACGTCGCTCTTTCTCTCTTTTCTCTTTTGCAAAGTCTGGGCTCCTGTTACACACGCAAAGAAGTTCCCAACACACATGCACACGCAAGCAACACGCACACACACACACTGTTAGAGTGGTTCTGTTACGAAGCGAAGCTGTTGCTGTTGCCATTGCTGTTGCTGCTGCTGCTGCTGCGCTATCGTCTCTGTCAGTGGCGTACATCGTACATTTGTTTGATTTTGTTGTGATTATGCGCGATGGCGACGCCAAAGCCAGCGCCAACGCCAGCGTCAGCGTAATCAGCGACCCATGGAGGGCATTCGGCACTCGCAACGGCAACGGCACCGGCAGAGCAGGGCCCCCGAATAGCAAATCCGAAGTTCTGATACACTTGATAGGAATGTGCATGTGGAATGTGATTCTCGGAGATTGTAAAGGAAGGGGTTCCTCATTTTCATATCTTATAACTTATAACGAAGAACCTACGATTCATTTTCCAACAGTCCTCGGAATTGGTTAACTTTTACAACAAATTGTAATCTTTCGTACTTAAGGCCTCTCAAATGTTGCCTATAAACAGGTCTTAGATGCCTTTTTATTTGCTATGGATTCAATTACAAACAAATTCGATCGTATAATCGATCTCTTTGGAAGACTTTAGCCGTAATCTTTGTACGGGTTAGTGTATCCTCTATATATATTTGTTGCCGTTGTTCTGCTGTTGCTTCGACGCTGTTTGGCCGTGTCGTAAAAACTCATTGCCAGTTTGGGGCGTCGCTCAACTGGAAATGTGGCCGGGCCCGGAGAGCCAGCGGCTGCTGCAGGTGTCTGTCTCTAACCAAGTCTACTAGTCATCATCTAGTATATACATACGCTTGTAGCCTATGTATAGGTATGTACATGAGTGTACATGAGATGTATACCCGTATGTAATTGCGTTGAGCATTTCTTTGTGATGCTTAATTAGCAGCTGGCAGCCTGTTTTCCACTTTTGAGGTTTACAAAATGACGTTCGGCGGGGCAGAAGCCTACAGAACTATAGCTAACAAAGTACATGTATTTTCCACACCACCACACAAAGCCCAAAAGACACAAAAAACACGAACAATATGTATATATGAGATAGTTGGTCCCGTTTCCTTTCATCCTTTTCTACAGATCAAGCTGCCCGATCTGATTGGGGTGGTAGCGTATGGTAAAGCCGTTAAAAGTGTGGGCCGGTATCTCCTTGGTGGGCGTAAACTCGGCCCGCTCGATGATGGACCGCGGACTGCCAAAGTTGAGGAGCCAGAACTTAAGCTCGTTGACCTTGGGCAGGGTGCCCTCCAGCTGGCCCTTGACCGTGCCCTCGTCGGTGTTCATCACCCAGCCGCGCACATGGTTCATTGTGGCCAGATCGCGCGTTTGTTTGCGCAAGCGGACGCCCTGCACTTTGCCGAAGATCTCAAAGCCGCAGGCGAAGATCTGGTCCGATGATCTCAGCATTATCGAAAATAACAATAAAGGATTTTGGGAGTACTCGTAGTTTTGTTGTTGTTTGAACTGAACAATTTTCGATTAGTTTTGGAGTTTGTCGGGGACGATGAGTACTGGAGCGAGGCACCCTGTACAGAATGGATTATTTTTTGAACAGTTTTTTGAAAAGGTTAACTATTAATCGAAATTAATCCATTTAAATCGATACTTTTCTTGGACTATCCGTAAACACCATTGCCGAGTGAAGGCAGTCCTGTCTTGGCATACCCTCTGCTGAAATGGCGGTGGAGGAGTCTCGCTAATGACATTGTATCTATTGTATACTCGTATCTATCGCATATCCCGTATCAACACGGGGGACCCATAAATCACATGCCACACACACGCACACACACACACTCTGCACAGTTCATCTCATGGCAATCCAATCAACTGGCAATGCCACAAAAGTTTTGCAACCACCGAAACAGGGGCAGTACACACACACACACACACACACACACACACACACACACACACACCCATTCTGCCCCGCACCCACACTCATACCAGCACAGCAGCACCACCTATGGACAGCCGGCAATAACTAGCGAGAGATAAACAGACAACATTTGGCGCTAATGCAAACGCGCAGCGTCAGCGTCGACGTCAGCGCAAGGGACGATTCTAAGGCAAATCTTTAATATGATATTTATGGGCCAAGGCGAAGGAGCAGAAGGCCAGCAGAGCGAGAGAGAGAGAGAGAGAGGGAGAGAGAGTTAAAGGCGAGTGATAAATGACTACAGCTACATCTACGGACCACCACTCCAGCTGCTCCTCCCCCTACTCTAGCAACAGCAGAAGCTCAAACTCCAATTCCAAGTCCAATTCCAACTCCGACGTCGACGTCGACGTCAACGTTGCTCATTCAAATGTAACAGCACGAGCCTCAGTCACAGTCTCAGCTTCAGCCTCAGCCCGTTGTCGGTTCGCTTCGCTGTCGCTGTTGAGCCGAAGGTGAGCAGCTCCAAGGTGTACTAATCTGTAAGGTGGGGATTCCATTCCCGCTCTATCCTAGTGTCAAAGATTGTATACACGTTGCTAGCTTCCTTGTATCTTCGTAGATAGTTAAGTCTTAAAAATCGTGAGAGTGCACTGTAAAATGCCTCACCTTAGTAAAAATACACCTTGAGCAAACCAAATCAAACAAACCGAAACCAACACACGAGCACACACACAAATGAAAAAAAAACAACGTTGAAACGCTTCAAGGGATTTCGCACGGCTCAGTATTTTTGTTGCTGGTTTTTTTTCTTCTCTTTTTGCTGTTGTTGTGGTGGTGGCTGGCCCGAAACTGCGCTTCAATTGTGACAACAACACGCTCCAAGGCAGTGCAGTGCAGTGCAGAGAGAGAAAGAAAGAGAGCGAAAGCCGATAGAGAGGAGAGATCGGGCAGCTTAGCAGAGCAAAGGCGGCTGGCTTTAACCGTTTGAATGAAACTTTTGCCGGTGAGACAGATCTTTCTGATTACCGCTTAAGCTTTTCCGATGCTTTTTTACTGTCGGTAAACTTTTGTTATTCACACTATTTGCATCAGTACTCAAAAAAGAACAAAAATTGCTTTGCAGCTGGATAAAATAGATGGAAGAACTAAAGTGGTTTTCTAATTGATATTCAGCCTGAACCGATTATATAAAAGCTTTGTCGTTGGCAAAAGCTTTAGCAGTACCATCCTGGCGTTCAGTTTTAGGTGCTTCAGCTTCTGTTTAGATCTACAATTACACAATTAAAGCTCCGTATATTTTCCTTAAATGAACCTCTTCCCAAAAATGCCAACAGAACGATGGGAAATCAAAATGAAAAGTATAGCACAGTACAGTTCCCTCTCAGGCCCAATAAAAGCATTTCTCCCATTCCCAATTTGAAAATGGAATTGAAATGCAAACTAAATACTAAAATTAGCTTTAAATAAGCAACAACAGCAGCAGCATGAACCAGGGAATACAGAAATCAAAGAGTAGCACAGAAAAAACAACGATAATTCAAACGCAAAATGTAAACACTTCACCCAGCGAGAAAGCTGAGAGAATACACATGTACATCCACAAATGCAAATGAAATGGGAATAATGAGACGAAGAAGAAGCACAAGCAGAAGCAAATGCAAGAAGTAGTGGAAATGAATGAAGTGGAGTGAAGTGGAGTGGAGTGTAGTGTAGAGTAGGGGGAGAGTATAGAGTGTGTGTATGTAGACTGCAGCTGACCGAACGGAACACCAACTGCAGGCTGGAAAGAGAGCAGGGAGGAGTGCAACTGGGACAGCGGTCTCGGCTCGGCTTGGCTCTAAATATCGCCACACTCATACATACATATACATATGTACGTACATACTTACATACTCACTCAGATCGGATTTGCTTACGCGGTGACACAATTCTAAATCCGTGCCTGTGCATTCATACATATGTATGTACTTACATATGTACGTACAGCTGTGGTCAAAATAATATATGTACACTAAAAACTATGATTTCTAGCATACAGATCAAGTTTACTTCTATAAAAAAACTCTGTCCTCTACCTATTTCGGAATGCATTTTGTTTCATACTATTGTTCTCCTTAATAATTTGATTTGTTTTCATTTCTTCAGGAGTCTACCTACTTGAAAACTTTTACTTTAAAGCTACATAGGTAGAATAATATTCTAGGTTCCATCTGATAAAGAAATTGCATGTTCGTTAAATTAAGAATGCCACTTTTAATGATTAAAATCTATTAAAATGACGGAAACTGTCTGTAGGGCCTGCATGTGTGTGTGTGTGCTATGGAATAACCGTGTCAAATATACGCTCTCGAGTATTACGATTTCATTACGATTCGAATTTCGGATCATAGAAAAATCCAATCTGCTGTACTCTGACGCTGTCCGTTGGTGACGCGCTCTCTGGGCTCTAGCTTATCTTTAATCCCCAACGAATCACTCTCATGTTTACTTACGGTTCCATCTGCATCTAATGCATTTTTACACGACCAAATAATGCCAGAACTCACCTGCAACGAGAGAGAGAGAGAGAGAGAGGAAGACATAGAGTGAGAGGGAATGATGATTAGCAGCAAATGCAGCGTAAATGCAATTCGAATGATAAATCAACGATCTAAAAATACAGCCAGCAACAACAAAAACAGCGTCAGCGGCCAAATAAGGCAAACAATTGCAAAAATCTGCATGTGGATGGCTGCCTGCCCCCGATGCCCGCAGTCGACTCTGACGTCGCAGTAGACGACGACGACGCACAGCAAAGCTAAAAATAATTCACGCTGTTCGCTTAGAAAATCCAAAATTAGCCGCGGCCGAGTTGCACAGTGGTCGGAGTTCACATCAAAAGCAGAGAGAAATCCAACCAAAGTCGAGAGCATTTCCAAAGTACAGTTTAGAAGAGAGACCTCGCTTGGTATGAAAAATATCTTAAATTTGTTTTGTTTATTTACAGCATATAAAAGATTTGACTTTTTTCGCGCACCCACTGTAGCTGGCGTCACCGTTGAGCGTGGACAGAGCCGTAAGCAGCGACGCCAACGCCAGCGCCAACGCCGATGCCGAGCGACAGCAGGTTGGCAGAAAGTCTGCCACTGATAACGGGAAATGGCATGCAATGCCAGCAACAGCAGCCACAATAAGGAGAGCCTCACCTCACTCTCGTGCCGGTACGTGGACCCTCTCTCACACTCACACACACTCTCTTTCTCTCACTCTCTCTCTCTCTCTCTCTCAGGCCGTGTGTGTCTTTCTTCAAGCTCTCTCACGCCAAAATAAACAAAACAAATGTAAAGTGCGCCTCCGCCTCTGCCTCGCCGTCTGGAAATGCTTGGTACAGCCACCAGACCGCCCAATCACCCCACCACACACCCCCCCTCGACCCACAACCTAGGGCAAGCCATGAAAATAAATATGTGGGCACAACAAAAATGAAAATTGTACGCGAAATGTGCCGCAAATGGCAGCAGATTTGCCATTAAAATTTACAAAGGTTCTCGCTCTCATCGTTAAGGCAGAGAGAGAGAGAGAGCGCCAACGCGTTGGGGCACAAGGTATATAAGGCCGATGGTAGGGCAGTGCAACAGGAGTGACCAAATGTTTTAATGTTCGAGCGAGCGAGAGTGGAGATTAAGCCTGGGACCTTACCTTTGCTTCAATATACTTTTGAGGGGGGAGGCTAGGATACGCAGACAGACCCAACTCCAGAGAGTCAGAGAGAGAGAGAGAGAGTAGGAGGCGAAGTAGAGGAAAGAAAAAGCAAATCAAAACAACAGAAAGAAAACAATCACAAATGCAGGCAAAACAAAAAAAAACCCTCTGCCTAACGGACTGACTAAGTGACTCGTTCTCTCTCTCCCTCTCTCTCACTCTCACTCACTCACTCTGTCAGTCTATGTGGACTGTTAAATAACAGCTGAAAATTAACAGTGAGTGTTTTTGGAACAAGCAATTAAAGCTGTAATCAAGCAATTAGAAGTACAATTACCAAAAAGTTGGAGCAAATTGTGTGTGTGAAAAGAAAAGAGGTGGAACGAAGCATTTTTAGGGAGAACTGCAGAGACGGAACCCCGCTCGACGTCTCTTCATAAATCTACTGCCACATTACCCATACGCAGCGTGTTGCAGCTGCAAACCAAACATTCCTGCGGCCACGGATCTGTTGTCAAGCGGCACTAAAAGTGTCGCATATGTTTTGTAAATTAATTAATATATCTTACACCCCATAAAGTGCAACACAACAAAAAGTGCCAGATAAATCATTAACAGTGACGGAAAAAATGTTAATTTTTTCATGCAAATAATTTACAAACATTGACAGTATATTATCATCTCTATTTTTTTTCATTTTTCAAGTGCTGCAGAAAAATATTCATATCATTATGGCTGAATGACAGTGGGCCAGTGATGCCGACAACACCAATTAGCCAAAAGTGTCGACCAAAACATGACAGCCTCCAAAATGCGGAAGAAGAGTAGTACGGAATAGAAATTGGAGAAAGGGACAGCAAATGCAAGCTATAATTAACTTAAAATATAGCAAATATTGACCACTAATTTTCCAAGCTATTAAATGTTAAAACATTTCCTGTTTTCTGGCTTTACATTACCAAATTCCCTGCTAATAAAAGTTCAAAAATCTACCAATGGCCGAGATTGGCTTAATTTTCTGGGCTTTTCTTTGGGTAGTTTAAAATGTTAGAGAGACTTTTAGGCACAACTTTGATCAAGAATCATCATTCTTATGGGAGATATTGGTAAAGGAAAACATGACTAGACAAATAACACAAAAAAAAAAGGGAGCTTATTGCTTATTTTAACAGGGTTTTCAGATCAAAGTTGATGAAATTAAATTAGTGAATTTTCAATAAATTTAGAAAATAATATCTATTATAATCCGTTTTTATTGGCTTTTAATTTTATTGTTTGCCCA